AAATCAGAGATTCATTTGGATCTGTAGTGAGCATTAATTCCAGTTCTAAGGCAACCATTACAAGATTGTTCGTTCTGTGGCATTCGATAAGCTACCTAATTGAGGCAGAGATGCTTGAGGTTCAAATCAGATCATGTATGTGAGAGTGTCTTAACATTGCCTACCAAGCACTTATTTGACCTTCATTTCCCTACTCCTTTCACGAAACTTCAATTGTAAACTGGACACATTGAAATGTATTGGAGTATGACTAACCCAGTTTCTTGAAGACCATATTCAGAATAACTGAAACCGAAAGAACTCACGAAAAAAAATTCAACTCTTGTGTTGCAACTTTGAGTGATTCTGTAGCCAAATAGTAAATGATGCAAGAAGTATAAAAATAACATGGACAAATGCACAGAGTCATTCTACCTAAAAGAACTAGAGCACCATTTACGGAGGTAGCATATGAGCAAGAACTACTGGTGATGAAGGAAGAAGTTCAAGCTTCGCTGAATGTGTTAGCCAAGGAATTGATGAACTATCCATTCCAATTTTTTCTCATCTATGTCAGGAACTTTGGAAGACAGCTACTTGGCCAAATGACTGGAAGAGATCCATATTAGTGTCCATTCCAAAGAAAGGTGACCCTGCAGAATACTGTAATTAGCATTACAATGTAAAGAAGACCAAAATTCTCACAACTGCACTATAGATAACATCATGATAAATGGAGAAAAGCTTGAAGTTGTTAAGCGTTATGTCTTAGTTGTATCCACAATCAATGTTTATAGAAGCACAAGTTAAGAGATCAAAAGACATATTGCATTAGGTAAACCTGCTGCACAAGACCTTTTTAGAGTATGGAAGAGCAAGGATACTACTTTGAGGACTAAAATGCACCTGACCCAAGCCATAGTATTCTCCCTTGCATCATATGCATGTGGAAGTTGGGCATTGGACAAGGAAGCACATAGAAGAATCAATACATTTGAATGTTGGTGCTGGAGAAGAATATTCTAAGTACCATGGACTGCTAAAATGACAAAGTGATCTGTATTGGAAGAAGTAAGGCCAGAATGCTCCTTCGAGGCAAGGATGGAATGACTTTGTCTTACATAGATTGGACATATTTTCAGGAGAGACCAGTCCCTGGAGAAGGACATCATGCTTGGTAGAGAGGGAGGCCTTCAATGAGTTGGGTTGACACAATGGTTGAATCAGTGGGCTCGGGCATAGCAACAATTGTGAGGATGGTTCAGGACCATGCAGTGTTTCACTCTGCATTGCTTAGGGTTGTTCTGGATCGGAGCTGACTTGATGGCACCTAAGTGAGGTGACCAGATTTTAACATTGGTAAAGCAGGACACCATTGATAAAACTCATATCCTGGCGAAATAGCCACATGGCAGCTGAAAACCATATACCCTAGCTTGTCGTGCATTCTTTCCAAAAATCAGCACTTTTTAAAAACACCACGGACGAGAGGAAACTGGACATCTGGTCACCTAAAAACAACAAGATACTCTCACTCCTGGTACAATAATGTCTTTGCGTTTTCTAGAGAATGCCCCAGGGTGATCTATCAATATCTCATACATCTCTCTATATTTATATTTATAAGGAAGGTGTGATTGACTTACAAGGATTATCTCATGGGGTTGTGGTTGACTGTAAACTCAAAATTCATAAATTAAGTGGTAGACTGGAGGATACTGCAGGATTAGGTTCCATTATCTCTAAGTTCAAAGTGGAGAGAGCGAGAAAGTGAGTTCTGCCAATCTACTTATATTCTGAAGGAAAGGGAAACTTCCTTTCAACAAATACAGGAGTTTTACACATTGGACTGTGATTACAATATATTACATTGTGGAATGCAACTAGACTGGTATTTGACCCCACCACTGGTAACCACACTGGACACATATAATCATCATGCCTATATATATCAGAAACAGAATACAGTGAACCCTCGTTTATCGCGGTTAATCGGTTCTAGACCCTACCGTGATAAATGAAATTCCGCGAAGTAGGATTCCTTATTTGTAAATCAAATATTTTCCTAGTTAGAGCATAGAGGACATGAAAAAACACCCTTTAGTCACCATTACACTCGTATTACCCAATTTATTAAACGAAAAAGGGGAAATACAGTAAAACATTTTGGACGTTACAATTATCATTTATTATTTATTATATTATTTATGGCATCTAGTTTACAGTATTACATATTTCATATACAATATTATTATACATAGTTCTTACAAATACTGTAATCAATAGCCTATGAAATGTCCCTCTGGATGTACTCTACAGGTGGGTCGCCGTCTTTTTCCTCTGAAGGAGCAGATGTAGGCAGTGGGTGCTGTTACGCAAAAACCGCGATAGAGTGAAGCCGCGGAAGTCGAAGCGCGAAGTGGCGAGGGTTCACTGTAACATGCTTTTTACCTTATACATGAGCTAGTGCGATAGTAAACCCTTCTGTAAACTAGATTAACACGTAAGAAGTTGGCAGTTGCCTGTCACCAGTATTCTGTGCTTTTTGTGAAAAATTGCTCTTCCTCAGTAGACTCTGCAGTACCACGTTAGGTATTTTTCTATTATTTGCTGCTCCATTGGCCAATTTTACTTTCTGTGTCTTTTCAAGGGAGCCCTGGTGGCACAGTGGGGTGTACGTTGAGTTGCTATCCTCAAAGTCAAGAATCCAAAACCACCAGCTGCTCTGAGGAGAAAGACAAGGCTTTTTACTCCTGTAAAGAGTTACAACCTTGGAAACCCACAGAGGCCGTTCTTCTCTGTCCTGTAGGGTCTCTATGAGTCAGAATGGACTTGATATCAGTGATTTTAGTTGAGTGCCTTTTCTATGCATTTCTTTTATCACTCTCTGTTCCTCGGTTTATTCACAATTTTTTGGACTAATGGAAAGCTTGGGGCCTCTGTCAAAACGTTGTCAAAGGCCTGAACTTTACATCATGTGGAACTTGGTGAAATGAAAGAATGCTTTTAAAATAAAGCTTTTTAAATTAATTTTTTTTTATTTTTTAGTTATTTTATTAGGGGCTCATACAACTCATCACAATCCATACTTCCATCCATTGTGTCCAGGACATTTGTATAATTGTTGCCATCATCATTTTCAAAACATTTTCTTTCTACTTGAGTCCTTGGTATCAGCTCCTCATTTTTATAGCTTTATTTTTAAAAATATTCTAAGTCACTTTTCAATCATTTGTTTGTAAAACTGATTTATCTCTTTTGTTTTAATCTTTTTCTTTTGTGATGACATTATGCCTCATTCATTTTTGGAAGTCTCAGAGTTGTTACTTAAAGATTTCTTTTTGAATCCTTTTGAACTATAGTAACCATTTTACATTGTGTTAAATTTGTACCCTAACCCAGTAGGTGAGATTTCTTTTGAGGTTAGTAGAAGTGAGAATGATTTGTTACTTTATAGTGATAATCAATATAGATTGTTAATGAATGACCCTTCCCTTTGTGTTTATTGAAATTCATATGGCGAACGGCCTTTTCTTGTTTACAATAGTGTGCTCAGGTTCAATATTTTTCTTTTATAATTGTATAAAAATTGAACTGTATGTGCCCACTTACAAATAATCTATTTCATGTGCATAACATTCAATTTAGTGTAGATGTACTAAACTAGTATAAAAATAACTTGCTCAAAGAGTAAATATACTACATAGTCATTTTATTCTAATATGTATTTAATATTTCCAGATGTGTTAATAACAGTCAACGGTCTCTAGCGTTGGGAATACAGTTTATGCTTCTGCGATTACTGGGTATGCTATTTTTCATACTTCACTGGTTGCTGTTGACTATTTTGATTTAAGTTTACTGATTCATTTATTTTTATATGTGTCAAGAAATCATATTTAAGTATGTGGAATGCTACATAGTTGAAGAAATAGGTTTTCATATATTTACTCTGTAGTATTATTCACATATAATATAAAAATAACTTTCATTTTCCACCTACCTGACTGGCTAACTAGCGTTTTCAACTCTGTTGCAAATACAAATTTACAGAGTATACATATGAAGGCAGAAAAGCAAGAATGAAAAATATTTCCTTCACTGTTAGCCTTATGTTTCCTAGAAATTGTTTAAGTAATTTCTGAATTGATTAGAAATATCTAATTACGTAGTGTTTTCTGTTTTTGTATATTGTTTTGACTTGTTGACAAACATGGAAAGGATCATATAAATTTTTAATTTATGCTATATATGTATATAATCATATATTAAAAATCTCTTCCTATAAACTGTAATCTATATTCATGCATATTTCACAATCCATTTTCCTAGGCACAATACCCGGACCGATTATATTTGGTACAACAATCGATAGCACATGTGTTCTCTGGGATATTAATGAGTGTGGCGTCAGAGGTGCTTGCTGGGTTTATAATAACATCAAGATGGCCCATATGCTACTGGCGATAAGTAAGTGTAACTTTTGGATAAGTCTAGAGTTAATTGATTATGTCAACACAAGCAGATATTATTAGCTACTTAGGTCATCGTGGTTATGTGATGCCAAATGCACATTAGGGAGAGCCTCTAAGCTTGTAGTAGAGTTTAAGAGGTAAATGAAATGGTATATAAATTCCTTTAAAGAAATTTTAGAACATATACAAAAAATCTAAAGAAAATTTTGAAAGACGCTGGAATGTTTATCATCCAGGTATCAGGATTTTGGAAAACACACAGCGCTATGATAGGGATTATATTTTGGCTACAAAGCACATCACTTGCTGGAAATATTTTATAGTTTTAATGCTATTGGTATAGCATTAAACCAGACTCACTGCCATCGAGGCAATGTCACCTCATAGCAACCCTGTCGAAGAGGGTAGAACTGCCTCTGTGAGTTTCCAAGACTGTAACTGTTTATGGAAGTAGAGAGCCCTGTCTTTTATCCGCAGTCTACCTGGTGGTTTTGACCTACCCACCTGGCCTAATCCACCCAGGCTCCCTATTGGTAGTCTAGAGATAACCAAAATTGAAACTGAAGATGAAGGGAGTACGGCTTGCTTCTGCTTTGAACGGTTAATGCTGTTGGTTATTTTGAAGTCCGGAGTAGACAGGCGTTTCGGAGTAGACAGGTGTTTCCGAGTAGACAGGCTCCAGAAGTTGGAAATGACTAGACGGCAGTGGGAAAACACCAGGGGCTGCCAGCACAAACGACTCTCTCTTGGAGGAAGTATGAACGGAAAGCTCCTTAGAAGCAAGCGTAGTGAAATTGTCCTGGGTCTTTTAGACAGGTTATCAAGAGAGATTAATCCCTACAAAAGGAGACCGGCCATGGTAATCTAGAGGGTCAGCAACAAAGAGGATGATTCTAAAGGCGATAGATTGTTTTAAAACATTTTTTAAAATTCAGTATTTCGTGTTTTAGTTTTTTAAATCGGTTTTATTTGGACAATGAGTAATTTTTTTCTTACTCCAAGATGTTTGAGAGTTTTCCGTCCACCAAAAAAATGCATAAAAAGTTTTTCAGAAATAAAAAAATTATAAAAGTAGAACCTATGCAACTAATTTTCCTATACATCTAATAATGTGTCAAATGAGCATTCCTATCTTACAAAACACACATTTTGAGTAAAATTCACATAACTAATAATAAAGAACCAACTACTTTATAAGACTCTTCAGTTTATGGGACTGGCATTTCTGAATACTTTAACAGTTTCTAGAACTAGTTTCTCTTCATGTTTGCAAGCAAAAAGCCAGAGTTTCTTTAATATGACTAAAATATTTTAAAACAAATATAATGCTTTATATATTTAGTTGATTAAAAGCAAGTTGTTAAAAATTGTAGATCTTACACAAACTTATACATATCTTTTTAAAATTATATTTTCAATGTATACATAAAGTTCTGCAACTTATTAAGAATTAATTAATTAATTTATTGCTGATTGTGTTTTAATTAATTTATCTCTGTTTGTAAGTGTTTGTTCGATATATTAATATGTTAATAAACTTAGAAATGGAACATGGGTTTATTTCATCCAACACAACATGCTTGGCTACTCACAGAAAGGGTGGACGGTAGAAACAATTGGCGGTTCCTCATAAATGCTTGGCGATCTCCGGGGAACAATCAGCTATGGGAAGCCTTATAGAGCAGAATTTTCCTGCTACTTCTGGAGTGGACTTGAGCCAATCAGTTAACTCAATTGGCAATTATTTTAATGAAAATATTAATCATAATACATGTACAACTATATTATTTTATTTCTTTTTGTTGTGACTGCAAGTGAATACTAATTACCTAATTTTATAGATATATATATATAGCTCCTTAATTTCTTTTTTTATTATTATTTTTTAAATCATTTTATTGGGGGCTCGTACAACTCTTTTTTTTTAAATCATTTTATTAGGGATTCATACAACTCTTATCACAATCCATATATTTAGTTATATTTTATCAACCATTTTGATGAAAAATAGTATCTTACTCCCTGAATGTTACTTTTGTCTTTTAAGTAGTAATTCATGATTAATGACTAATTCCTCAATGAGATTTAATTTTTGAAATAATCAAAGGAGTAAATGTAAAATAATTTTTATTTTTATCTTAGCTGTTACCTGTAAAGTTATCACCATTTTCTTCAATGGACTTGCAATCTTTCTGTATAAACCACCTCCGTCAAGAACAGAAGTGTTATTTCAAAATCAGAATTCAGTTGTGACTACGGTTTCAGTAACATATGATAGCAGCAAAGAGGGAAATGAAGACTGAATAAGAAAGAAGAGAATATTTTACGGCTGGGAAGTTGACTTCGAGGACTGCACAACGCCACCGCAGCATTACCTCCCCAGTACGGACACTCTAGTCTTATACAGCCGATGCTTTATAATTGAATATGTCTAAGTATATATTGATTTTATTTTGTTTTCTTTAACGTAAGAAGCAGACTTGTGCCTTCAAGCTCACAAAAGCCTCAAAACCTGCACACAGTCACTTATTTTTTATTGCCTAGCTCTGAAATCCTTAGACAGTGACAAAGCAGACTAGAAAAATACCAATGATTAGTAAAATGTTTACATTCTAAAAGAGCCATGAATATTTCTGTCCTAATAGATTATTATTGTCAATAGTTTGAAATTATTTTGCAAATGTATGCTGTAAATTTACATGGTGTTTGGAATTATTATTGCGATTCAAGTATTTGAAACCTGTTCTATGACATAATTTGTTTTAAACGTTATTTATAGTCTATTTGCTACAGCAAGTTATTGAGCTATTAGAATGTAATTATTTATCCTTGCGTCCCAGTATAGGGAATACAGAAATATCAGCATTGTATACACTTACTTTCACTTTCACTAAAAGTTTCCATGAGGTTATTTATTGATGCTATGGATTTTTAACAACTAGCTCGTGTGATTCTGTGATAGATTCACTCACTTATAGGTTGTCTTAATCATCTACTACAGCACTGATAGAAAAACAAAAGAGGATAGCTTTAAGAATCAAAAATGTATTGTCACAATTTAGGAAACTACCCATCCAAATTCAACTTTAGGAGCAGGCTTTCTTTCTTTTCCATTTCTTGGGGAAGGTGCTTGCCTCCTTTCAACATCTGTGGACCCAGTGTTCCTTGGAAATATCTGTATGTCCTGCTTCAACCTATCCTAGGGTCTAAAAAGTTGTCAGTGCATGGACTCTGGGTCCAAAGGGTGTGCTCTCCTCTTGACTCTTCTTTCTGGTTGCTCCTTTCTTCTTTTACATTCTATAAGATAGATAGTGGTGCAGACCACACCCCAAGAAATATATCCCGACATGGATCAGCACTGTGATCTGATTTAGGGGTTAAATTCCACTTGAATCCCCCTTTAATAACAAGAAATCAAATCACTCAGGATGATCACATTATTGTATAAGTGCCAAATCACTAAGAATCATGGTCTAGTTGACTTGACACATACTTTTGGGACACACTATTTGGTCCATAAGAAAGTATCACCTTCAGTTATAAAAAGTGCCAATTAGATGCAAAAAGGTTTCCTGACAAATGATTGATTA